GGTTCCTGCTGAACGTCTATTTAAAAAATTAGGTTTTTTTATCAACATATTGTATAAGAAACCAGTGAGTTATTTGTATGGTCAAGACACGGTGAAGATCTTAAATCATATTTACTCTAGATGTAAAATTTAACTAGTAAAATTATACTTCTAGTAATGTAGGTTACCCTTGTTTAATTAATATTACGTTTGCCAGTAACCGTTCAATCATAATCGTGTATTTTGTTTATTTCAGCAACTTGTAACATGTTGACAAGTATGCCAATGCTATAAAGTTTAAGATATAATCTGTAGAAAATATAAAATGAGTATGCGTACAACATGAGACAGGCCATTATTACTACTATCTTGAAACCATAAGTTTTAGCCATAATATAATACGTTCACCGTTATTCCACTAGCCAGATCACGTCTCTCAGTATCAAAAGGCAGTAAGATCCACGTATATTGATTATAGAAAGTGTGCTATATTTACATACATCCAAAAAAATATTGTCCTAACGATGAATGAAAACTGTCAGAAGTCATTCTGGGCAATCTATTAGACATTCAACAACAAGCATAAAATTGAGACCATCCTATGTGTCGGAACGGAGGCCAGGACTATTCATAATATAGAAACAATTGTTCTCGAACATCTAATAACTCGCCGGCGGGCACAACAGCGACGATTTGTCGTAAATGTGCAAATTGGTGTGAAGCGAAAGAAAATTGCAGCTTTCTACCGCCAATCGTGACGTAGCCGTTCGCCCTTAGTGACGTACGGTCTTCGGTGAAAACAATTGATCTCTTTCGGTGAAAGTATTTACTTTTAATTTGACAAGGGCAAGTTGAGCAAATAAAAAGAGCGTTTGTTTGCAGGGAGTTTTAAAAAATTGATGTGTATGACTTTGTGGAGGAACGGGTATCATGTCCCTCCAACACAAAGGGAGGATCCTCCGACCAGGCGAGGTGATCATGCCTGGCGGGCCGCGGCCCAACGGTTGATGTTGGGAAGTTGTATATATGCTAACTTTATATCGCGATACAGGATTAGCAATTCTTATTTTAGTAGTTACTCCGTTGTTCGGTGTGTCTTCATTAGATGGCGTTGTAGTATGTTTATGTGGGAGTCGCCACATCACTCCCCTCCAAGACCGGAGGTCGATACATGATGAGTCAGCTGCCTATGCTCTGTTGTGGAGCGTGCCAGTGCCAGTAGTGAGTAGTTCCAGTGAGTCGGAACTGAGTGCGCGGTGCTGCGGTGAAGTCCCCAGTGAGTCGGGGCGGTTGCTGCGTAGACGGGAGAGAAAATGCTCTTCTTACGTGGACCGTAGGTGCAGTGTACTGTGCCTAGACGCTGGTGAGGCCGTAGAGGTAACCAGGCTGGAGCGGTCGCTACCTGCGTGTGGTATCCCTGTAGAGGCCGAGGTTACTGGCTGGCTGAGACTTGATTATCTGCTGCTGGTGCTGCTGATGATCTGCTCCTTTTGAAGGCTGCTTCCAATCACGTCGGGGTAACCACTGTTAAGGAACGGGTATCATGTCCCTCCAACATAAAGGGAGGATCCTCCGACCAGGCGAGGTGATCATGCCTGGCGGGCCGCGGCCCAACGGTTGATGTTGGGAAGTTGTATATATGCTAACGGGCGCGGGAATTCTTTATATCGCGATACAGGATTAGCAATTCTTATTTTAGTAGTTACTCCGTTGTTCGGTGTGTCTTCATTAGATGGCGTTGTAGTATGTTTATGTGGGAGTCGCCACAACTTAAAAGCTATGACAGCAAATGTTTTCTGGATATTGAGCTGGTTTTTAATTCGAACTTGGGTTTATTAGAAACTCGGATATTTTACTGGCTAATAAAGATAAATAAGATACTTTAAACTATTAAACATTACGTGTACAATACTTCGATATCTATACTTAATCCTCGAGTCAAATAAAGCATAGTTTGTCACTGCAGATGCAACAATGTGGAAACAGATTTGCGTACATTTTTTTTAAATACTTACATATTTAATATAGCAACATTTGGGTGTTTTTGGTTTTAGTCTGAACAATAAAAAAAGATAATTATACATATACATTTAACACTTGCACTTAGCGAAAATCAAACCCTAAAGCGTACATTTAAATGGTCAACCATAGCATCAAATAGCTTGTCATTTAATCTACAAATATACATGTACATTGTATCCATTACGGCGTTTAAATCGTTGACTCCTTTAAATTTTTGTAATAACCGATCGTGGTCATGGACGGAGTGATGGGTAAGAGTATGATATCATATTGCAATGTTTTATAACAATCCTCTGCGCCATACCATCATTATACCCATGGCATTAGGATCTCTGTAAATTCGGGCGTCAATTCTGCTATTTTGTGTTAATGTACAAGCCACTGTCATTCCATTGACAAGCTATTGATATGCCATTAACATCTCAAAATATAGGTAGTCCACTAACATAAATTCAGTGTCAATAGACTGTCGATATAGTGACAATGCGTCATCAATGGTGATATCGACAACATTACCGTATCTGGCAAATGCAATGTATCATTTCCTAATAAATTTAAAATGTACCGTTTGTAATAATTTGGCTATTACAAAGATATCGACGACATTTTAATCATCGGCGGTTCAGAGACAAGTCATCGGGCCATTGGTTTTACATAGATAGTAGAATACGAAAAGTGCAAAACTATTCCGACGACATTCTATCGACAGTCTATGGATACAATATTAAAATAGCAGAATTGAGGCAAAACGTTTCAAAGTTAAGGAAACAAAGTTTCCTAAATAAGGACAAGGTTTAGGCTAACTTTTAAATTGTTCCATGTAGTATAATTATAACTTCGGGAATTTACACCAGTATGCTTTTGCCCACGGTCAATGCAACTTAGTCGAAACGTCAGGCAATTCTAAGTTATTTAATAAGTGGTAATAAGTTATAATTATATCAGGCTTAGACTGTTATGATAACTACTTAAAACTAATATTTTACCTTATTTCATCTTTTGGCATAGTGTTTTTATGAAAAAAAAACTACCTACGATTTATGTATCTCCGAAAATATATTTATAAACAATTATTTAGCAGATTTTTTGCAATTATGGTAATCAATATATCTTCACGGGTAATTATTGCAGAATAACCGAGGATATGTGTGTTCAATTAAAATTTCATAACACGCAAACTTAAGTTTACCTTCCGTGTTACTACTTGTTATGTAAAACAATGTTTATCAGAGATCGCTTAGATATTATTAACTAACTGTTGCTGCTACTTCGTCTACTTTTAACATCAACTATTAATGTTCGAAGTGTAATCTTTTCAAGGTTTTTTACATCATCATAATTTTATTACCTTTTTCAAATTATATACAAAATAAAAATAACATTTACAAATTTTGATGACTGACTATAATAATATACTTTAGGCATATTATAAAAATAACATGTAAATTTTCGGACATTTGAGACACAACGCCATCAAGTTTCAAACTAAACAGAGCTTGTACTATGAAAGCTGGATTGACTGATAGAATACTTATATACTTTTTTACCGAAACAAATAGCAGATCATATAAATATTTGGTCCGACCCGAGAATCGAACCCGAGAGCTCATCACAGCAGCCGCTTTATCATCATCTGTTGCCAAAATAGGTGTTTCATACTCAAAAACAAGTATATTAAGTTCTGACATATTCATCATAATATTGTATAGCTTATCTTGTTAGTATTGTAAAATGAAAATAAAACATTGACATGTCCAGTGAAAGCCTAGCCATTAGACCTAGTATTGAATTATGTTCCCACGAAGTCTATTTTGTTTTCTACTCGCAATTCGCACCATAAACATTACGACATTCGTACTCCTTGAGGTTATTAGAAAGACATTTCCTTGGGTTATATTCAACAGAATAGCGTGTGAACGACCATCAGTATAAAGTGAATTTTTGACTTAAATTTTTTAATTCCATTCTTGTGATTGAGATCCAGAAATAAAAACACATTACTAGAATAAGTATGCTAAATATAGTAATAATAATAAAATAATATTGTACCACATTCACACAACGCCATCTAGTCCTAAATTAAGCAGAGCTTGTACTATGTGCACTAGACAACTGATATAAATACATATTTACTTTTTTTGTAAATACATACGTATTATACATAGAAACATTCAGACCACATCAATCATTAAATGTTCATGCACACAAATGTTTGACTTTAGCGGGAATTGAACACGCGACCTTTGGAATAGCAGTTAACGGACTGCTATTCCAAAAAACAAACCACTATGCCAACTAGTCGCCCATATCATATATTAATAATATAATAATTAATATATGATATGGTAGTAATCACATATTAAATGTAGACTCGGTAGCAAGTCACTGATCTTTAAAACATTTGCTGCAAAGAACCAGAATGTAAAGCTACAGTTGAAAAAAGCAAACCATTTCAATAACGATAGGAACAAATAATATTATTATGATGATATGATGATGTGATGATGATGATGTGAAACGCAACATACAAGTACACATTCTAGTAATAATACATTTATGTTTCGTTAATTTAGACTAAGCGTTATTTTGTAAAGAGCACGTCGTGTCCGTACATAATTTTTAATTGTTGTTTTTCTTTTAATCGCAGGACCGGCCGGCAAAGATCTACGAGGGACCGGAAAACAGAATCGCCAACCAAAATGTGACCACCGAAAGACAAACCAAAACCAATTGCACCATACAAACTCATGGGTCTTGAAAGATTACATGATTTCACACAATATTTATTGTACTTATTTACTTTAGTTAACGAATCTAGTCGCCATAGCACTATTTAAACGAAGCAATTTAGACTTACTAAGACAATACAATTGATGATCGGATATTGAAGTACAAAGATTAAGGAATTGAAGGGGCAGTACAAACGACGCTCGGGGACGCTAATATTAATTTACAAGTAAATTAATTTTGTTAGAAGTTCCTTGAGACCAACAAACAAGATGTCTACAAGTAAGTTAACAAACCTTACCTATTAACCTTATTTAGATAAAGTTTTGCTTATAGCTTATTCTGAAAAAGTCTATGGATGGCAGGTATTAATAAAACTGAGAATATCCCTCAAAAGACTCTGTTCTTCAGTTCTGACTTCTACACTCACTAAAAGGAAAAACTACCGCCCCCTTTTACATATTAGTCAGGATATACCCTACCTTTACCGCCATGACTCGCCGCTACCTGTATTCTAAAGAGGTTGAATTCAAAGGCTCGAATAGCCACTAGAATACGTGGCAAGGGTAGTAGATGGGTTGCCATCAAGGTTCCAGGTACTTACGACCCGCCTACCAATTATACTCGTAGATATTTTTCACACAGGTCTGTTTATCGTTTTTGGCGATGAAACGTCGTTATACCAACTCCTTTATTTATTTATTTTTCATTTAACTCCAACTTGATTTTACAAACATGCCATTACATTCTTTGTACCCCAAAACCGGGTTGATGATTTGACTGGAGGAATTTGTTTAATGGCTTAATATAAAATATATTTATATAGCGTAATTAAGGAAAAACATTTATTAACATTAACAATTTACACATTTACAGGCTTTGAACACTCTTCCATGAAGAGCAGCTTCTCGCTGTCATCTCTTAGAAGTGCGCCCGCGCCGCCTGGTGGCCGCTGTGAACAACTTGAGCGGCCATATCACAGTCTCACCAAAAAGAGGTAAATATAGTATTTATTGGTTTGTGTATTTCGTTTTAAGTAAGGTTACCAGTACTCCATGAAGAGATAGAATTCGTGCACAATTTGAGATGTCACCATTGAGGTCTTTATCCTCAAATTTAAAAAATACGTTTCACATGTGTATCCGCGGATACACAGTTTTACCGATCCGGTACATCACTATTTTTAATAATATCATAAGATATTAATTTAAGCATTTGTTACGCAGAGCATGAACAGATTTAATTGTGATAAATAATCACGCGACGTCGAGACAAAAAAATCTATAAAATTAAATTACTGTATTAGTTTTTACAACAACAATTTAAATTTACCTAAATAATAATGCTGCACGGACGGCGTGGTGGTTTAAGTGGTCGCCACGCCGCTTCCTATTGGGCTGAGTGTTGTGGGTTCGATCCTCACATGGGACGACACTTTGTGTGATCCACAAATTGTCATTCTGAGTCCAGACTCAGAATGAATGCATACATGAAACGGACACCAAGAACACCCAGCTGTTCTTGGTGTCCGTTTTATGTATGTTTGTTAAGTCCCCCGCGACACAAAATATATTCCTAGTGCGGGAGTTGACAAAAAAAACAGTGGCACTCCGAGAGTGCCGGGAGAGCCGACAGAAGTGAAAACTTGAAAATTTAAACATTTTTGATGATAACAGATATTTTTTCGATTCGAGAAATTCCGACACGAATATATATCTATGTTATACGTATGTACATAATATATCTTTATATTATACTCATATATAGTTATATTACACAGGCCAACAAGATTTTTATTAGTTTTAGTACGCTGAATCCAAATCCGGCCGCAAACCTAAAAATTCAAAAAACGCAATTATTGCCTATTTTTGAGGTTATGTAAATCTTCAAATTTTATTATGCCTAAAAAAGTACACATTGTATCTTAAAGTTCAAGTCTTCAGCTTTCAAATGACGTTGAGTTTGTTTAAATATCATTATTGACATGCAACATAGATAAAATCCTGCTTTGAAGCGGATTGGATATCGTTTCAAAACTTGAAAACAATCGGTTCAGCATCGGTTAGAGTTGTTAGAGCGTTTTCAAACAAACTAAAAGTTCACATATACCTATATATTATTACACGCTTTATCTGCGACTAATAGTAATAGAACGCTTGTATTATTACAACAATACCTAATAATTTCGATATTATTTCTAATCCGAAATGTCTCCGGAACTTGAACTGAAATGCCATGTTACTATAAAATACACGAGTTGGTGAAACAGCTGTTTCTCCAATTCTCACTGAAACTATCTGTACTAAGCGGTTATTTAGCAAGTTATGTATAACAAAATATGTTTAAATATTTTATACCTTTTCACCTTAATCAAATATAATGATGTCCAATCCTCAAACGATCAAAATCAATCCTTCACCTGGATATTATTCCTCTGACTTTACAAACATAGACTTTAGAAATGGTACCTTGTATTAAGTAATTGTTTTTATCCATTCAAAAAAAAAAAACTTGCCCTGACTAAATGATTCATGAGCTTGAGCCGCTAGGGCTACAAACTTGAAATTTTGGGCGCACTTCTTAAGAAGGATTTGTCACAATTTCAGCCCTAAGTGGGTAAAATAAGGGATAAACGGTTGGTATGGAAGCCCAAAATCGATCTAAGTGGAGTGCAATGGGAGAGGCATATGTCCAGCAGTGGACTGCGATAGGCTGATGATGATGATGATGGCAGTTCGCGATTTTCAAAGTTAGAGACACGAACGACATATAATTCCAAATACATACATATTATAGATAAATTACACCCAGACACAGAACAAACGATGGTGCTCATCATACAAATATTTGTCCTGGTTGGGAATCGAACCCACGACCTCCGGCTTAGCAGTCAGGGTCACTAACCACTAGACCAATAGGCACGTGAATAGCTAGTATTGAAACAAATATCGCTCAAATTTCTGTTACAGGAAGGAACCATGTCGAGAAGCCTGGCGTCGCAGCTGGGGCTCAGCGGCGAGTGGTGGCAGCGCCGGAGACGATCTATGGCCGTTGCTGCAACACCACTATGATTATATAATGGACAACCAAATAATTGATAGTTGCAAGGTTATTATTTTAATAAAGAATATACATACGGTTACACTGCAACTTTACGTTTTCTTATTTCGACGACGTAGAATACAGTCTATTCGCGTTTAGAAAATAGTGACGCATCGATGAAGCTTTGCACCCTGACTGATTGGTTTTTTTAACGGGAATGAACTATAGTGATTTTACCCGTTTTTCTAAGCGGATTCATGAGACTTAAATTCCAAGGCTTGTTATCAAGCAGGATAAGCATGTAGCCCGCAGCAGCAATGGTCACTTTTTGAAAACAGCCTAATTCGATTACTTACTTATTTAGCACCGAATCTTTTTAAATCGCATGTAGTTAGCCATATCTGGTTTGCACAGTTTATTAGTGAGAGCCGATATATTATTGTCCATGTCTGTAGTTTTCTAGACCTTTTACTACCGATAGCGTAAATAATGAATAACATTTAATTCAAGCTTTGTGGCAGTGGTGAATAATTCACTTCGCCTGCGTCTTTCAAATGTAATAAATTTTTCATTGATGCTCATATTAGTGGAAGCATGATGTTATATGCCTTAATCGATATATTACACATTAAAAGAATATCCTACATTAAAAGAATTTACCAATGCGAACCAATAGTTCCTTAAATTAAGCACTGAAGAACAATATTACCTACATATATTTTCTATGATTACAGGAAGCAAACAGCGAGCTCCAATCCAACACGACGTCCACAAATGGACCCCGGCTTCTAAACCCGATATCGGGGTTCAACAGGCAGTGGTCACTGAACCAACTGATTTCGGAGTTTAGTGAACTATGTCAGTGGCTAACACACGTACACGTAGAGATATATTCTAGTCCAGAGAACTTGTCCAACAGGAAACTTAGGATGGTAAGTAGCAATTGTATAAGTCTAAAACAAATCTCAATGTCGTATATTAATGAGGCAATTGGCCAACATACGATTCACCAACAAGTTGAAGTACGTAGTGAATAAAAAAAAAAGTTATTTTTTTTATTTTAGCTAATACAATAGTTTAATCACTGATAGTTAAATCTGAAAATTCTAGTTTAAAAAAACTAGAACTTCATAGGCAAAGATTAATTTTATTTATGTACAACTAGCTTTTGCCCGCGGCTCCGTCCGTGTAAATGTCGGTTATCGAGGTTAAAAGTAGTATATGTCTATTTTGAAGAATCAAAGTATCTCCATACCAAATTTCATCTAAATCCGTTTAGCGGCTTAAGACATACAGACAGACGCACTTTCGCATTTATAATATTATATAGATATAGATTACAATAGGCACTCTCTCTGTAGGTCTCTGAAATTAATACCATTTGACTCATGAATGTGTATTTTTGATAATGTTATAAATATGTATTACATACTTTTGAATTTAGATGTGTATATGCGAGTCAGCACCAACTTTTAAAAGTTCCTTTAAATGTCGAATGTTTCGTCCACAGAGTCGCATGACCGAGCTGTTGTCAATAGAACCGCGCCGCGCCAAGTTTATCGAGCAGGCCAATGCTATACTTGAACGTATACCTGAAGCCAGTGCTGAAGTAAGTACCTATACTATACATAGATCTTTTATAAAATAATATCATAATTTAATTGAGGTTATATGATAAAATAATACAAACTTACCTAAACTGAACAAATAGCTGTATAGTCACATGCAACACATGGACGTGTCAAGGTGCATTTAGTTAGTTATAAAATATTATAATAGGTTATAATAACTTCACACATCTCACACACGGCAGTGAGCCCAAATTAGATAGAGCCCAGAGCTACTAAAATACATATCGCTAAATTAGTCGGTAGCATAGGTTATTCTTCAGATAAATAATGTTACTTATTTTTATTTCTCAGGTGACGTGGCGGGTAGAACATTTGAATGCAAAATGGGAGAGTCTCCGCCTGCTACTTAATCCTGAGCAGCAATATAGGGAAGGAGACAGTTCTGATGCAGTTGGTTAGCATATATTTATTCATGTTTCAACTTAGATGTGTAACAGGATTTGAAAAAACATGCCATTAAAGTTTTGCATTTTCATGTTGAGAACGCCATCTATTGAGTAAAGTCTAAATTTGCATTTAGATGTTAAAGCTGTCATTGCAAGTTGTTTAATGTTAAATGTATAGATGTCGCTGTAAAAACCACTTTAACATTTTTATATGAATACATACAGATTTTTTTATTAATAAATATAATTTTATGTTATAGTATGGCACAGCAGTTCATTATTTAAAATTAAAGATACTTAAATTTATAAAATACTATGTTAAATTGCTTAAATGCTAAGTTCTTTATGATGAAACCTTGAATTAAATTAATATTGCAACCTTTTACTGTAGTGTTACGTTACTTCCTGTACAATATTGTAAAAAAAACTGAGTTAATATTTAATGTATATTATATCAGACACAGCTCATGAGATGCGATGTCTGCGTCGGTGGCTTCATCGCATGGAGGATCGTCTACCACCACCCTCACTCTCCGCAGCCAGAGGAGAACCTTACCACGAGTTGTTGAGAAAACTCAGCGAGCATAAGGTAGGTTTATTGTTCAAATATTCTCTACTAGATATTCATAATTTGTCAATAATGAGTCTTAGTCTGCAGTGTATCCATTTGAAGCTTAAACGTATATAGTGTAATTTGTACATTCGCCTTAAAAAATATGTAATGATAATAAAACGTAACTAACTCCGCCATTTTGAGTGTTATTCTCAAATTTTTCGCGTAGCAACCGTTGAACCTTACAGTATTTAACAGTATTTTTCAGAGATCCTTTACCATAGATTTTTTTTTATTGAGTATTAGTTTTAGTTACACTTCGACACTTTGTACCAGTGCAAGACTAATATAAAATAAGAAGCTTTAGCAATTTTCTACTAAAAGCTACAATTTTAATAGGTAAATATTTTTCAACCTTTGTTCTTAGAAGCATCCATTTTTTTCTTTTTTTCCGTGCGGAAATCCCCTTTTTTTTTCCGTGCGGAAATCCCCTCGGATACCACCTGTGGTGGCATGTCGGACTCGAAACGACTAAAACCGCACGCCGTCTCGGGTACTAATAGCCGGGGAACCAGGTATACCTGATAATGTTGTAATACATTCTCACTGCGTCCATTGCTTGACGTGACACGGGAATAACGTATAATGACAGTTCGCAATCAGCCAGCCATGTAGAGATACCCTTAATTAAGTTCGTTCGTGACGGAGAGCTCGTGATCTTTGTAGTTATAAGTGTATTACTAGTGGATAAGTTGTACGTACGAGTAGTGTGAATGTATTTTATGGTGTTGTTGATATATCTTTTTAACCGACTTTAAAAACGTCGTGGTTATCAATTCGTATGTTTCTATTTTTTTATGTCGGATTATCAAATATATTTTTATTGTTCGAATTGGGTTTATTCTAAAATAGTAACATTTAAATTTCATAAAGATCTGATGACTAGTTTCGGAGACAGACAGCATAGCTCTGTACGTACGAGTGTCAGTAATATCGGCACTTGTGAACAGACTCGTGTTTGTCACGAAGTCTTCAGGCCCACTAACGATCGTTGGTTTTCAGCCGACTTGAAAACCACATAAGAGGAGGTTCTCAAGTCGTCTGTATTTTTTTTGTATGTTTATTACGCGATATCTTCGCCATTTTTACGACCGATTTTTTAAATTGTTTTTGTAACCGAAAGGGGATACTCCCGAGGTGGTCCCATTGCCACCAAATAAGGATCAAACTATGGGGTCCCAGAGAAATCGAGGGAAATCCTCAAATTTTACAGGCCCGACAACGTGTTTTAGCTTTTTTCTCTAGCTATATAGGTATTTGAGTGTGGTAGTCGTTATCTCATAGTGCGGAGCTGATAATAGAAGGGTCCTTGACCTTTAGGAGTTGTAGGATAACTCTTTCAATAATATAATCATGTATTGATCTTGTTTCTCTTTCAATTTCTTTTAAGAAATTTGTTAGGTGTCTGTGTTGGGTTACAAAGATATGTGCCCAAGAAAGTAATAAATGAGATTACAAAACATATAACAAAAAAAGGATTGTTATATATATTTTAATGTTTGTTACCTCAACACTCTTTGTTGTAAACCGATTTGGAACAATCATATTTTATTTTATGTGGAATTTGTTTTATTCTAGTAGCCGTCGGTAAGTCGGAATCGTGTTATACATTCTTATTAGTTTTTTTTTCAATTTATTTAATTAGACTATGTTTATTGTGTTGCGATCTATCTGTGTGCGTTTTGTTACTTTTTAACTCTTGGCGCAAATGTCAGGGCCAGCTAAAAACTAGTGCTGTGTTATCGCACATGCCTTATTAAAACCAAATTTAATAGAATCTAACGTACTATGCTTTGGTAATATAAACATTACAATACGTAATGTTTTAAATATCATCATAACAAACGTATTTCGCGCTAAAAATTGTCAAACAAATCCTTTAAAAAAAAAGTAGAACCGACTTCAAAGAATACTAAGAAAGAGCACTTAAAATTAAAAAATAATTACACATCTAATTGAAAAAACCAAAATTACTATTATAATGTTACCTGTTATATTAAGTGCGACACTTAATATAACAGGTAACATTATAACAGTAATAGATACCTTCTAGTCTGTTTGAATTACATGTAAATACATAGAAAATACCCAAACTCGGAAACAAATATTTACAAATCATACAAACATTTGGTCCGACCTGGGAATCGAGCCCAAAACCTCGGCACCGCAGTCGCATACGCTATCACTGTACCACTGAGGCAGTCGCAATAAATACACCATGTACCCGCAAGAACTCTAAATGTTATAATTTAACGTCGGTTTCTTTGTTTTAGTCATTCCCTTTATTAAAGCAACACATTCTGAGAAAACCTACATTCTTGAAAGTCTTCCATAATTGTTACGAAAGTTGGAAAACCTGCCAACACTCACAACATTAGGCCAGCGTGATAAATAATGGAGTAACCCTTCTTGTACGGATTAGGTACATAGAGTATTAGAACAGTCGATTAACGAAACTACAAATACCATAAAGTAACACTTGTTTATAGAGAGTGTTACAGTGGATTAATATTTTAATTTAATTCCTACTTTCCTGATTGACGGCTCTGATCATGATGATCGTATTCTTGCTCTTGCTGATTGGTTATAATGTGCCATCTTCTTTCTTTGTGTATATCATTCATAATGACGAATTATATTATTATTAGTAAAATGTCATTGATTATTGACGGGCCTGTTGGACTAGTGGTTAGTGACTCTGACTGCTAAGCCAGAAGCCATGGTTTCGAGTACCACCCAGGATAAATAATTGTGTGATGAGACCGATCATTTCCTCTATGTTATTTATGTAAAATATGTACGTATTTAGAAATATATAAGTATGTTTATCGCCAATCTGGTTACCATGGTACCGGCCTTGCATAGTTTGTAATCTGACGTTAGTTAGACGATCTAGTTGTGAGGTTATTAGTATAATTCGTCTTCTAGAAATTTCATTTCGCTTTCAAAGAGTCCATAAATCTACTCTTTGGTCTTCCTTCTCTCTTGTATCCGTCAACTTACATAAATTAGGTGAGTTATTTGTTATTTTTATCGTATACACTTAAAAAGAAAATAACAAAAGATGAGTTACAAATAAGTAGACGTAACAATCGGCGGTCTTATCGCTCACAGGGAACTATTAAATACCTAAAATCCGTGTTAAGTCTCTTCCAGACAACCTTAACACGCATTAAAGGTATTTAATAGTTTAGGGTAAACTAGATGATCTTCATTGCCTTTGAATTTAATTTAAAAAGAATTAAATCTATAAACTAAAAGCTGTTCATGTGAGAGGAGCCCTTAAAACCGATTTCGTAGTACATTAACAGGTATAAAGGTCACATAAGCACTTAAGTGATAAATTACTATCCCGTGTTGCGAAAGTGTGGCAAACACAATTTAAGTGGTTTCCAAACACCTACAGGTTAACGATGAACCACATAATGTATTGGTTCTATAAGCACTTGCGTCTGCTAGGATATAGTAACAAACTCTATGTACTTCCAAATTTATGAACACTTGCAGATATTATACTTTACTTACTTTCAAAGGTTTATAACCATGTTTAGGTAAGGGAATTAAAGCGCTCATGATAGATACTAAGTAGATACTGGCCAAAAACACAAATAAATACTTTCAAAGGTTGTCTTAAAAGCATATTAATTAAAGTCGAGCTCATCGTCTCTAGCAGTCCATTAAACGCCAGAAATCTCTCTGACTTTGAGACCCAAATACAATTTATAATTTACTAGCTTTTGCCCGAGGCATTAAAAATAGCTAATTCCCTTCCTCAAGAATCAAACTATCTTTATACTAAATTTCATCTAAATCGGTTTAGCGGTTATTGATTTCCCATATAAACTTCCTTTTCACCCCGTTAAAGGATGATTTCTGGGATAACACTGTCTTATGTCCTTTCCAAGGACTCGTAGTATCTCTATACCAAATTTGATCTAAATCGGTACAGCGGTTTAAGCGACAAGAGGTAACAGGCCGACAGGCAGATAGAGAGACAGACATATTTGTGCATTTGAAATATTAGTATGGATTATTTATAGAGAGATTTGATAGTAAAACTTTTCTTAGAATATGTTTATTGATATCCATCCTTATGTGAAGACGAAGATGGAAAGGTAGGCAAGGTGTGAAGATAATGTAAGGAATTGGGTTTTTCTTATGTGTACGGATTTGTTAAAGAAAAAGCTCGAACATGCCGACAACACGTTGGCGTTTCTTTCATATAGAAGCCACTTTTGGCGCCCCATATTAAAAAAAATTAAGACTAGGATTATATCAACAAAGTGGTAGTGAAAACTGATTAGACATAGAAAAAATTATGAAAGTTATGAGGAAGACATAAGAGAAGAAGATTATTCGTAGAACGAAGATTGTGTTTTAGAATTCAAAGTGTATCGTGTGACATATCACATGAAAAGATTTGTGTGAGGCTTTGAATATTTTTTATATTACAGTAGTAGTACTATATCATTATACATTATATTATCCATTACATTACAGTACATTATAAGTCCTATTTTGTAGAATTTATCTCGTAATCTATAAAGATTATGAGATAAAGTCTACTTCTTAAAACAACTTTCCTTTGAGAACCTACATATCGAACAATAAACGAGTTACTTAACGATATTAAAACGCATTAATTTGTAAGTGGTATACACACCTACATCTTAAAAGTGCACTTAAATGAGAAAATGTACCGGCGCATAGTGTAATGGTCCGGATACATTGTTTCATAATATATCATTGAATGAACTGAAAGCACGGTAAAAGTAAGAGCGCTATCTCGTTCTGTGATCAAAGGTTATCAATCCATCTATCTATGTATAACGGTACAAATTACCTTTATCTGATGTACATTAAGGTAGGTTCACACTACAGTTACTTAAGGTACTGCATTGTTCTCATTATAATGTTACTGATTAGTACTGACAAATGTTATATTGTATACCTTAACTAAAGCTGAGTTTTAGGATTATTTTAATTATATATTATTGAATCTATATACCGCGATTAGGCATACGTGTAGGGCGCCCTGCGGCACGATTCACCAACGACTTCAGGAAAATGGCAGAAATAAAAATTGGAATTGAAAATCTATAACCAAATTGATTCCTTTGTTAAGTAATTATGTATAAAGTAAACCTTCATATTTTATACTATAACCCACGAAGAGCACGCAATATAAATAACAATTAAAACAAATCAAATGCCTCATAGATACGTATATCAATTAAGTCTCAACTACGACAACAAACTTTTCGTTCTAGTTGTTACTAGAACTTTTTAGTTTCTATCATTTAACTTAGATTAGATATTAAATTATTAGATTATTAGATATTATCCGTGTGGTGACGAATTAACAATACGGAAAGTCACCATCTCTATTCATCCCGTGGGTGTCGTAAGAGCCGACTAAGGAACCAAACTACAAGACAACAGCACTGCAAAGAGAAGGAAAACTTGAAACAAACTTGGTATAGGACCAACCCGTCTGGCCAGCGTGGTATAGTAGACCAAAACCTCCTCTCTAAGAAGAGGCCTATGTCCCGCAGTGGACTATTATAGCTGTTGATGTGATGATGTGAGATATTAAATAAACGAAATAACTTCTCTTTAACATAATATCCTGGTAGTCAAACCGTTTGTCTTGATTGACTAATGCGCAAGCTCAGTCAGTCGCGGTAACTTTCTAAGGTCGCACGAGCGGCGGCAACATCAGAATTAACCTCTGCTAGTCAATTTGTGACAGCGTCATCTATTATTTGGGGCCATCGATCTAGCTAATAGTTCCTTGGTTGTAGTTCGAAATCTGGGTTATGACATGATATCATATCTGAAAAGGAAGTCTTGCCACGTTAAATTAATATGACATTGTGTTTCTCTTTGAACCTCACCGAGGAATAGATAAAAACTTAACATTAACACTTACGAAAACTATGCAGATTTCAGCAGCAGATTTTATCTATGCAGAGATTCGTATTGTGTCTACACCATAAACATATATAATAACGACAATATATGATATTTTAAAAGTCAATTTAAAAAAAAACAGTGTTTAATTAAATATATTTGTACGCCTTTGGGCAAAGGAGTACAAATATCTATCAGAGGATTTATCTATTTGTAACATCACACACTCTATTGTAATTTGACCTACTCGTATGTTTACAAATACATCATTCTGATTCAGATTCTGAACAAAAGTTCAGTCAAAAGTTGCCTACTTTACGATCATACGGCCGCGTGTGAGGTGTGTCAAGTCATTATTATTACTTTCACATGATGAACAAAAAAATTGTCATTATAATGTTGCATTGGTCCCAAAGTTAAAAATGTAAATAAATGAAAAGTCTCACCCATCAAAGAGACTAAAATAAATCCGTGGAACGTTTAGTTTTGATGACTTCCTCATACGTCGTTTATATTTGAAGTTTATTTACAATTTATTAACGTTCTACCATATTCGGTTTATGATGAGCTTATAATGTGTATATTTATAATGTTTTAAATGTATGAAAACTCACTTCTAATTCAAAATGCTCTTTAGCATAAATAATATTGGTATAGATAGAATCTATATAATATCTATCGCCGGCTCGAGCGGAGTGATACCACCTAACAGAAAACCGGAGTTAAGTAATTATTTCGCTCCTTTAATTTAAAATGTACGGTACATTTTAATTCCGTGAATCGTCGGTCCCAATATTTATCTCCAAAAATATAATCAATCATATATACGACTAAGTTGACTATATTACCAGTTTACAAAATCCAATTAGTTATTATATTGTTTTGGTGTCACTTTATAGGGTGAAGTTTATATGGAAGGCTCTATACTTTCATAATAATATATCAAATTTTAACATCAGATAAAATTAATACTACGCACATTTCATAGTGGGGTAACGAAGTAATCCACGTAGATATGATTCCCTTAGCTATACACTCGTAATATCGAGGCCATTATTTGCTCATAAAACCAGCGGTACTTCGCATACCCAATTACTTACTTCTCGGTAGGTCCAAGGGTTATAGGGCACTGATGAAGTCTATATAAGTTTAACTTATCCAGTGCCTCATGAAGATTAAGTTCATACCGTCCGCAATTGAAGAGTACGTATGTAATGTATGTAGTTTAATAAATGTAGGAAAGTGGGTATAACATTCCAGTTGATTTATTGTGCAATTGCAGATATGAAATTGGTGCTGTGTTGTTTAAAATTGATACTATAATACGACGATATAATATAGTTTTTTTTTATTCTCTACTAATTACCATATAATGTTCAATAGCAATTTAATTTTGACAAATGTCTGTTAAATCGACTTCGCGTAATCACTTTGCGAATATTCATTTTCATTATTTGTTTTTTAC